CATGCAGTGTTATGTACATGTACAATGTATGTGAGTACATTAAAGTGTACATTACAGTCCCTTAACATGGTACATGTACATGTACACCTTGACTTTCACTTGGACTTTTGTCATACAGTGTTGCTGAACCTCTTTTGATTTACTTCAAATTCATTTGGAATACTGGCAGTCTGGCACTTTTATCTCTATAATATACGGTATGCCGTCAAACCTTTGTAAACAATTTCAGTGTCATGAAATTTCATCAGAAAACAGTGTCAAGCAAAAATTGGGCAAGAATTCTGCCAAGTTTGCCCGACACATGAACATTTTAGGAGATCTTTAAAGTTGATAAAGTCTAGTACATTATTACATGTATCTCTACTTACATGTACAATAATCATGCAGCTGCTTAACCATTAGTTTGTTAGAAAATTATTCTTGTACATGTGTATTTGAGGGAGCATTAAAAAAATAATCAGAAAATTGGGCCAAAATAAAAATTCATTGAAACTTTGTAGTGGGTTAGTAAAATCAAGAGTTTTGAATCAGAATAAATTTCACTTAAAATCATGAAATTTGAGGTCAAAATGTTACCCCGGCAAGGCACTAGAGGCAAAAATTCAAAGTGCGCCATGTTGGTGTGCCACTTCGGGGTACATCAACAATACCAGTAGTACAGAATGTTGCCCAGTGCATTTTGCACTGTACTTGTACAGCTATTCAAGTTCTCTTGAAAAAATGAAAAACTTCATAAAACATTTCTACTGGTAAATTACATTTTTTTCATGTCCAACTTGTCTTCTAGGGTGCTGTAGTTACAGTACAGAAGGATAGATTCAGAACCCAGTATGTTTAATTGTAAAGAAAACCTGAAGAAATTCAGGGCTTTAGTGAAAAATTAGATGTGCCAAATTTTGATGTACCAGTAACAAAAAAGATACCTGTAATAGTTGGAGCTGCTGTGCTCATGTACTGTACATTGTTTACATTGTCACCGTTCTCACAAAGTGACGCTAATGTGGCTTTTGAGGAAACACAGGTTTTTGAACCTGTCAAAATAAGTAATTTGTGACAAATATTATGTAACAAAAATCCCTTAAATGATTTTTTGATGTATAAATGTTAATTTAACCCAAGTATTTAGTATGAAAACAGGTTAATTAGCCAAAATTAATTATCAAAGGTTAACGTCACTTTGTGAAAATGAAAATTACGTTTTTGTACATGAATGTCCCTCTGTTCAGTGTATAATAATCACAGGGAAGGTGGTCATGTCTTTACACGCGCACAACTGTGAATGTAACAAAGCTTGCGTCACTTTGTGAAAATGAAACTTGACCTACTTTTCAGCCTTTCCATGCAATACGTTTTGTACATGTTCAAAGGACGTTAAGCATTGAGTCTCGTCGTGAAAATGCAAAATGCTGTGTTCAAGATTTTTGCCCTTGGCAACATTAATGTAACTACATGTATGATATTTTGTTTGTGGGAGCATGTAAAAATGATCAAGCACGATATTGTAAAACAGAATATTGACAAAATGAAAATTGGCAAAATTCATTTTTGGACATTTGCAACATTCATTTTTGGACATTTGCAACACTTTGTGAAAACGGTGATGATACATGTACAGTGTGTATGTCGCAATGGATGAACCACTTTTTCTCAATTCTATTACCACTAGTACATTCATGCATCATGTCAACCAGTCCTAATTCAATAACTGATGTGCATTTTAATGATTAATTTTTACCTACTGTACCCTGCGCCACATTTTGTATACACCGCATAATGTAATTTGAAGCAAGTCACTCATACCATAGTGTGGTTTCCCCATCCGTATTGTGATGTATAACATCCTTTTCCGTCCTCCCCTACTCCTATGATTAAGAAGTAAAATGCTACATGTTAATGAAATTACAATATGGGTACCGGTATCACTGGGAATGGTTCACATGGTCAACTACAGTTGTAGATACAGTGTAATACCAGCGGAATTGATTTCAAACTATTACTACTGATTTTTATTTGACAGGTAATTTGCATTAATTAATTCATCACTCTTGGAAATTAAAAAATGTGTTCCGAACTTACAAAACCATATGTCAGATGTGACAGGGACACCCCAAAAAACAAAAATGGACTCCTAATTTCGAAGTACCCATGCAGACCTACTGGTAGATGTACATGTAGGTACGTTAGATACATGTATGTTGGGTACGTGTACATGTACCACATGTGCATGTACTCAGTGAGTATTCATTGTACTGGTACCAATTATTGTAGCAGCAGGTTTTGGACTGGAATCTTGTCTTTTTTCTAATTTTACTGATTTACATGTATACTTCTGCAGATAACATGTATATATACATGTACATTGTATACCAGGACAGTGGACAGTGTACATGTAACAGCTGTAACGATGCATGTACATGTAGCACTGTTACTGTACACATGTACATGTATGTACATGTGCATGTACATGTACATCAGAAACTACGTGTACGGTACATGTACACTGTACACGTATGTACATGTACATGTATGTACATGTGCATGTACATGTACGTCAGAAACTACGTGTACGGTACATGTACACTGTACACGTATGTACATGTATGTACATGTGCATGTACATGTACGTCAGACGCTACATGTACGGTACATGTACACTGTACACGTACCCTTGAAAAGGCTTGCTGAGGGTTGAGCAAGCCAGCAATATTAACACCAAACTTTTGGGCAAAATCTTGCCTCTATTTAATCGATCAAATTCCTTCAAAGATGCATTCAGATAAGTTTGAATTAATCCTGAGAGGTATTGGTACAATATTGTGTACAGGTAATGGTACATTTATGGTACACTCTGATGAGAGCAATCTCTGTTTTGTTTGGAAGAAGTGTTGGCTCTGAGAGGAGCATGTGGTGAGAAAAAGTCATGTCCACAATTACATGACATAATTGTACAATATCTAGCACTGTACGGTGCGACCAAAACAGTCGCATTTGTGCCTAAAAAATGATGATATACGACCAAATGTTTAATACTTATTGCCAATGGCAACCATGATTTATGCCTGTTAGTTGCCCACCTTGTCAGCCATATTTCATGAACGATCGCTGCCCGGTTTTCTTCTACGTGCACCAAGCAATGTGTCTCTATGATCACAGGGTTTTTTTTCAAGCTGTCTTACTACATGTAGTGTGCATGTACATGTACTACCAGTACATACCGCTACATGCATGCACAGGTATGGCACTGGGTACCCAAGTCGGCTGGTTTGTGGTCCCACACTGTATACATTGTAGAGTGTATGGGGAGCTGAGCTGTTTCATTATTTGTAATGCACTAGCAATCTACTGGGATATGTATGCCACGATTCCAGTGAAATAAACTTGTTTCAGTCCCAAATGTACTTGAAGTTTGAAACCAAAGCTTCTTTTAGCTCGGTTTTGTCCCAGGTGTACACGAAATACTCAAACGTAAGAGAACAAACATGCCTTGTCTTTTCATTCAGCTTTTTTTTTGTATAATTGTTTGCCATTTTTTATTTATTCCACAAGCACAAAATCCAAAGCCTGTCCTGTGGATAATTGACATGATAATGTTTCTGTGTTTTTTTTTGTCGGATTTTGTACATGTACATTTAACTCGTGTATTTTGCAAAAATCGACCCTACATGTATGGTACGTGCACATGGATTTTCTTTTGTTGAGGGGCTGCGGGTACTTTGTGCAACTGTTTCACCTGCTGACTTTTTCTCCACATTCTTGTGGAAGTACCGGTACATGGCATGTACCAGTATGATACATGCGAAGTGGTTAATTTCTTTGTTATTCAGAGCCAGATTTCACACGACTGACTTTTATGTCACAGTGCCATTCCCTAGCACTGGTAATACATTACCAGGGCTATACATGTAGACATTGGTTTGTATACATGTACACTGTACATTGATGTATGTA